TTTCAGGGTTTGATCTGTGAGTTAGCCATGCCCTGACTAAGATCAGCCCAGAGGTTGTTTCAGGGTTCTATCTGTGAGTTAGCCATGCGCTGACTAAGATCAGCCCAGAGGTTGTTTCAGGGTTCTATCTGTGAGTTAGCCATGCCCTGACTAAGATCAGCCCAGAGGTTGTTTCAGGGTTCTATCTGTGAGTTAGCCATGCCCTGACTTAGATCAGTCCAGAGGCTGTTTCAGAATATCGATAAAGTTTTTTTGAAGGTTTTTTTAAACACTTACCGAGCTTTTCTGGCTTGCGTCTCGAACGAACTTGGCGCGTGCTGAGAATAAATTAACGGCATCGGAGAAGCAGATGCTGATAGGAACTTCACGGAAGAGCTTTCCCATTCGTTCTGAAAAATATGTTGATAATTCCGTTACGTCTCAGAAAAATTACTTCCTAGGTTTCTGTTACCAAGAAAGGAACTGAAGTACTTACCATTGTATTCGTCCATCGAGCTCTGAATCATGAAGATAAGTGTCATGTGGAAAACCAACAGCGAACAGAACCCGTAAAAAACGTGCACCAAACTTGTCGCTCGCAGCACATTGAGGAACGTTTCCACATCCTTCGAGACCATCACTGTCGCGTTTGCTTTGGTGTTGAAGCTAACGCGTAGAGCTCCATCGGCCCAGTAGCAGCCGAACTGACCGACTGCAGYGCCCACGGCAAATACTAAGGATATCAGCGGCATGAACTAAAAGAAAGATAGGTAACCAAGGTAAACATGAGTGATATTTCAATCAGCACGCAAGCRTGCTGGCCCCAAAAGATCTCAACAGTATATAACATGAAGAGAACATTTGGGAAGCACGGGTGGCATAGCGATGATAGCGCCCGCCTCTCAGCGATGTGACCCGGGTTCGAGTCCCCGACGAGCTCGGTGTTGTATGTGGGTTGAGTTGTTTGATGGTTCTCTCCTGTGCTTCGAGGGTTTTCCGGGTTCTCCGGATTTCCTCCCTCCGCAAAAATCAACTTCTAAATTCCAATTAGAATCCAGTGGAAGAAGAGCCATCTGTGGAATCCACTCAGTGTTAATCCCATTATTTATTATTTATTTATTATTATTTCATTCGAACAGGACCRTTCGGTTTTATAACCTTAACTCACCTTCACAATAAGCCTCACTCGTTTGAGGGTCTTCGGGTAGTTACCATCTTTCTTAAGCTTCTTGACTCCTTTCAGAAACCATGGAATAGAATATTTAACCATTGAAATACAACAAGCAACAAGAGTGACTAGAAACAATCCTATACAGGTGGCCCAGGAAATGTCAAAGATGGTATTCGCTTCGTAGAAATCTAAACCAAAATGGATAAACATATTGATAATCCATACCACCAATCCAATTTTTCCTTTATATTTGTTATAGTTTTTATTAGTATCTCCAATGCCTGCTGATAATAAGTATGTTCTACTTTGAATTAAGCTGATGTCGACATCACTATCAAGGTCAGAATCTCGTGGTTTGATACTTGGCTTAGTATTTTGCTTGCTAGATTCATTGCTGTGTTCCTTGGCTGTGTTGTCGGGTTTTAAGGAGGCGAGACCTCTCCAGCGTGTTGTCGTGTTGCCTCCAGAGCTTGCAGCTCCATTAACGTCGACCATTGATACAAGAAGTGCCGAAAGACCAGAACTCAGAAGAACTTTTCAAACTTTCAACGTAAAAATATGAGGTTTAACGCTGAAGAACTTCGACTAAAATTTACCATCTGACTTTTGTATCCATTTTTATCTCCTGAAAATATAAAATGTATTGGAATAATGTCATTTATAAGCTTACTGTCAACGTTCGCGGGGTACTCATGCATAAAAACATTTTAATCGCATTTTTGGTTTCAATAAAGGTTAGCAAAAGTATAAAAGCTTATGTAAACCAGAGAATACTAACGACCATATATCCCTAGGAAAAAAATTTTATCTTTGACAACCTGGGCACACTTGTTATCAGTTAACCGTGTCATAATAGAGTGAAGGCATTTAACCCGTGAAATAGAAATTGTTAGTCAACGTGTAATAGTCAAATAGACACAAAAGAAAACAATAGAATGATTAGGTCTACTAAAGTGTATTAGTCTAATATCCAATAATCCACGAGTTTAGAGCGAAGGCATTTAACCCGTGAAATAAAAAATACTAGTCAAAGTGTAATAGTCAAATAGACACAAAAGAAGACAATGGAATTAGGGTCTACTTGTTAGTCTAACAACTATTTCACGAGTTTAATGGCTTCCCTCTAGCAATATTTAACTTTATTCTTATGCAAAATAATAATCCAAGTGAGAAGTCTAAAGAAAAATGGCAGCGCGCCATGCAATTTTGACTTACATTCTTTCCAAAGTGAAAGTAGGCACAAAATACCAGCAATGCCTGAAATCCGGTTCTTAAAGTTTTGCAAACATTAAAATCTAAAATCTGTCTGAAATGGCTCTGAATAAATTCCTTCAAAATAATTATTGTTGTCATATGAAAGATTACCCTTCAAATAGTTCATTGGCATAAAAAGGAAATGTTTTTTTAGGTCAAAATGATGCCAAAARCCTTGATCATGACAGCATTACTTAAACCAGTAACGTTGCTGTCAGAAACATTACCAATCGTTCTTGTATTGAAACAACATTCAGTATAGACTTTTCAGTTTATATTTGCTCGTTTTACTGACTTCAACTTCAATATAGTAGCCTAGTTACATTATTCTTTAAAGTATTGATGTGCAAATCAAGTCCATTAACTCAAACAACTATGTAATAATGCTTTTAGTACTTTGGAATTCAAGTTATAATTCAATATGTAAATAAGAGTGTGATTAAGGTTCAACTATGAATAATCGCCTACTGAATAAGCTTCTTGTACTTCTAATACGAATTTTAGCAGTTTGTGAACGGAGTCAGTAAACTAGTTAGATAAGTTAGATATTGCGGCGCGCTGCGTATGACAAAGTCTTTTAGGAATATAGACGTATTTATAACATTTAAGATGTCCATAATAGAGTTCTAAATCACGACTAAATTGTTCGTTGTACACATCAAAGCGAAGGCAGTTCTAAATACCTTAAGCAGGAACTCATGGTTTAAGCTCCACACGAATCTTTCTTCACTGCCTTCCATGAAGAAGATGATCGGACAAACGAAGAATTCAACCGTTAAACTGGCATGCCATCGCTTGATGAAGAAGTGTCGAAATGATGGCGTTGAATATTAATGAATGAATAAATGACTGACTGTTGTCATGGAAACTACCTAAGGATGATTATAACTTGACACAAATAATGGATTATAGTTGTCAAAGAAAAAATTATTTTAAGACAAATAACTTATTGTCTGCAAATTGTAAGGGTTCATCTTAGCCAGCATTGATTATTTAAGTTCGGATCCTGTTGTTTTGATTGTCTGTGAGCTGTCGTATAGTGAATTAAGTTGTTCATTTACGTCATGGTTTGATTAAAAATTAGTTCACCAAATAATCCCCCCGTTGTGCTTTAATTAGTTATTGGAAGATGATTATTATGCTGGAATGATACCTTTGATGATGGCTGTGTATAACCGGAAACCGTTTGTCTCTTGAGCGCA